GGAGCAGGCGCTGTGTTGTTACAGGAGGACGAGGAAGGTATTGATCACCCAGTTTGTTTTTTTTCTAAGAAATTTAACAAACATCAATGTAACTACTCCACAATTGAGAAAGAGGCTTTGGCTTTGTTGTTGTCATTGCAGCATTTCGAAGTATATGTTGGGTCGACTTCGTATCCTGTACTTGTGTACACCGATCACAACCCTCTTACATTCCTGTGTCGAATGTACAATCAAAACCAAAGGCTAATGCGATGGGCTCTTGTAGTTCAAAATTATAATATTGAGATTCGGCACAAAAAGGGAGTGGATAATGTGGTTGCGGATGCCCTTTCTAGAGCATAACTCGTGTGAGGGGTTATTTTGTGTACGTTATAAACATTATATGTATAAGGTTTAATTTTAAGGGTGCGGGTGTTACGTGCTAGCATTTTTGTCCCTCCCTTTTACTTTATTGGTTGCTGCATTTCTCCCTTCTGCTGTTAGTTTCTTTCTGTTTTCCCGCTCTCTGCTATCCTTGAGTTTGTAGGTGCTGCTATTGGTCGGAGACCACCAATCATCGGCTGTGGTTCAGGATTTAAGGCACTCCGAAGATCGGAAGAGGAGGAACTTTTGGAGTGTTTGTTGGCTCATGCTACTGTTGTTGAGAAATACTGACTTTGTGGTGGTTCGCTTGCGTCCTTGTTTGATTGTGTTTTCTTACGAGAGGACTTTTTGTCGGCACCAGCCCGGAGAGCAGAGGAAAGGAAAGTACGTCACGTGACCTACATCTTACATACACGTAGGGTTATACTTGTTAGACACACTAGGGAAGGAGCGTGTGCAACTGTGTAATTTTTGTTTGGGTAGCTAGTGAAGTTTAGTTATGGCGTGTTAAGCGCTGAAGAATTCTTTATTTTCTGGTTTTGTTTTCAGTGAGTTTAGAGAGTGGGGCTAAGTTAGTGTGTTTTGGTTTTGTTATTTTGTTTGTTTAGCACCGCTCATTTTCTTTCTCTCTGTGGCTTATTTCAATCCTTATTTTTCAATGTTTTTGTGTCTATAGCTGTTATTAAGTTTGTTTGTTTTTATCTATGTAAACTATAACGTTCGTGTTGGAAATAAAGCGAACCACCTGCTTGCAGTAGTTTGTTGTCTTGGCGTCATTCACCCACAGTAACTTATTCCCCAGAGATCAAAACTATAGGAGTTTGTTTTCAATTTTATTAATTAACTTACGTCCTCCTCATACCTCTATGCCATCTGAGGACGTAACAGTTTCATTGTTAAACAATGCATTAAGTTAAGCCAGAAACAATGAGCTCATTGAAGTAAAGAATACATGTTCTTAAATGATTAGGAAACATAGAAAACTTTAGCATTGGTGCTTTTTTACATACTCAAAATATGAGTGTAAAAAAGTCAACAAACTGAAAAAAATAAAAATGAGGTAAAAATGAGGTAGAATTTCATGTAGTGATAAAGTGCTATTGTATAGATTAATAGTTATTGTAGGATTAATGAAAATAATTGTTATTTTGTGTTAAACTTTCTATCACATATGGAACCTTGGAGAGGACCCTATGTGTGGTCCATACCCTTCAGCTTGTCGTCAACATGATCAAGAAGGAACAATCAATCAAACGTCTACTGGACAAGATCCGGCATCTGGTTAGACAGTTTCGCAAATCATCTGTTGCCACAGAACGGTTGCTGGAACAATGTGGACTCATTCTCATCAAAGACTGTCAAACCAGATGGTCCAGTTCTTTTTTGATGTCGTCTCGCTTACTCCAAGTAAAGAACCACGTGACATCGGTGGCTGACACCATGGGCTGGGACTGCCTACTGCCTAGTGAATGGCAGAAGGTGACCATCCTCAATGATTTGCTCCTTCCGTTTGCAGAACACACAAAGGTGCTTGAAAGTGACACGAGTTGTTTCTCCCTGGTTGTGCCTGCACTACTGGACTTGAAGAGCCACCTTTCAGACTTCTCCCTTGCTCATGCCAGGAGCTACAGGGATGTAGCTACACTGGCACAGAAGATGTATGCAAACATGGAATTACGCTTCAGCTGTTTTCTGGATGTGTCGGCAAGCAAGTTTTCTCCTCTTGCTGTAGCTGCTTGTTTTGTTGACGCTAGTGTGTTAGCAGGGACCCTGATTGACAATGATAATGACGACATACAGAATCTCCACAGTAAAGCTGAACAGTACATCACTCGCAGTGTACCATACCAGGAAGATGTGGCAGATGATGAGGACATTGGAAATGCAGAGGTCTCAGAGGCGCCTCAGCAAAAGCGGCCTAGATTCAGGTTTTTTAGTGCCCATCGGCAATCATCAAGGCCAAAGACCTCCAAGACCTCCATCAGACAAGAGGTCCAAAAATTCAAAGAAGCCCTGTCCCATGCAAACCCAGAAGAATTGGGCATGGATTTCTGGTCTTCTCAAAGCTCCACCATGTTTCCACTGCTGAAACCTCTGGTATTAGACCTTCTGGCAATGCCAGCTTCCGAAGCCTTTGCAGAGCGGGTCTTTAGTTTAACTGGAGACCTTTCAAGTGGCCGCCGCAACATTACATTACATTACATTAGTTACATAAGAAAGAAGTGCTTTTCTAAAGCTTAACAAAGTCTAGACTCTAGAGTGATAACTGCATACTGTTTTGGTTACTTGTTCTCTTTTCACTTTAAATAACCTTCAATTCAAAGACACACATTTTTTCTAACACTCTACCTTGTAACGGATTTTGCTTACTGTTGCAAATCTTGCCTTTGAACTTGATTGTTTAATTGAGTCAGTGTTTAACCTAAAGTGGAAGTATCAGCAGCTGTAGTAACAGCAGAAATCGTTATTGTTAGCCTTGTTAAATCTCATTTGTTTGTTATTTCTCAAGACCAATCTACAATTTAAATAGGTTGTATTTTAGTCCTACAGTACAGTAGGCCTATTCTTTTCAGTTTTTCTGGGTACACTCAGAATAGAAAAATGAGACAAAAGGCAACCAAAAACAGTTTAAAAAAACCTTTGTAATTGGTCAGTCTGAGTCTGTTGGGCCACAGCTTTTGAACTGTGTTAGTTCAAAATAAAATACTCTTCAGAAAAAGTTCATAATTTGTGAATGTGTCTCATAAATCAGAAAACCAGACACTTTTAACAAAGTGAATTCAACAAAAATCATTCAACAAGTGTATTTTGTCAGGTAATTATGACATTTAACCAATATTTGAGATGTGTGAAACACTATTTGACTGAAATGGTTATCTCAGAAATAATTTATTTAAAAAAAGACTAAAATGTTTTGACTTAAACTTGACTAAGATATATTGAGTTTTGTTTTGACTAAAACTAGACTAAAATGACGAGACTTTTAGTCGACTAAAACTTGACTAAGATACCTTAAATTCTCTTTTGACTAAAACTAGACTAAAATGACGAGACTTTTAGTCGATTAAAACTTGTCTAACAAAAAAAGATATGTGAATGACTAAATATGACTAAAGCTAAGACTAAATTAAAAATAGGTGACAAAATTAACACTATTATTGAGGAGCACAGGACAGACTCGATGATGGCCGAGTAGAACTGTTTCAGCAGCTTTTTCACTATGAAGTCTATGTGAGAGTCCCATATTCAGGCCAGGAACCTGAATGACCCCACTGCTTCCACAGTGCTGTTCATGATGGTGAGTGGAGGGAGTGCAGGGGTCCACGATCATCTCCACAGTTTTGAGCGAATTCAGCTCAAGGTTGTTATGACTGCACCAGACAATGTTCAACCTCTCCAGTCTGTAAGCAGACTCGTCACCATTTTGGATGAGGCCAATGACAGATCCTGGTGTTGTATCGCTGTGGTGGTAATTTTAACCACTCTTCACATCCTCATTCTTTGGAAATGTTTACAAAGAGAATTTGCTTTTGCAGAGCAGAAAACAGCGTCTTCTCGACATGTACACAACATGAACCATCTACAGTGTTTGAGGGCGGGTCAAACTTTGTTCGCAGGCAGCCAATGAAGACCATATGGAGCATTATGCAAATGTGTTAACGCGCTATATGCAGGTCACGGAAGTGAAACTGGAATTACTCACAAATCGTTTAGGCGATTCAGAGTCAATTCTTTCTTTCGGGAGACAATAACTTTATTTATCGTGCCCTTCCGACTTTACAACTTTGCAAACCATTAACATTCACAGACAGCTATATATATATATATATATATATATATATATACATATACATATATACATATAATGTAATATTACACACTGCATGAAATGTAATATTCGAAAAAGCTTAATAGGGTCACTCTGATATTTCATTTGCATGATACGTTTTACATAATAGCTACTTACCACTGTTAATCTAATGTTGATGGATGGTAAGGGGGGTTGTGGTTTTAAAGAGGGCATGCAGTTTTTGTCATTTTATCAATAAGGGGAATGTCACCCTCCCCCTCAAATCGACCCCTGATTACATTAGATATGATTTATATATATATATATATATATATATATATATATATACATATACATATATACATATAATGTAATATTACACACTGCATGAAATGTAATATTCGAAAAAGCTTAATAGGGTCACTCTGATATTTCATTTGCATGATACGTTTTACATAATATCTACTTACCACTGTTAATCTAATGTTGATGGATGGTAAGGGGGGTTGTGGTTTTAAAGAGGGCATGCAGTTTTTGTCATTTTATCAATAAGGGGAATGTCACCCTCCCCCTCAAATCGACCCCTGATTACATTAGATATGATTTATTATAAAAAAATCTCTGTTTTATTGAAAACACATAAAATGAAAACACTTATAATCAACAACTCATAATCTTCACAAATTGTAATGAGAAAAACCAGTCATTAACGAGCTCACGTTTCACGAGCGTAATGTACAACATCAGTCAGTTCGTGTCTATTCATTTCTGAGTGATTCACTAAATGAACTGACTCGTTTAATCGTTTGGATTTAGATTTCTCCTAATAAAAAATAAATGTACTCACAGTCTGAAAAACACATCAGATTTAGAGCAGAATGAGCGGCTGTGTTCCACTTCACATGTTTATGTTCCCTTTCCCTTCCCTCGCTCACTTCTTTTCTTCTCCTAGACTTGGATGTGTATCATTGCTTCGGTTACACGAGCGCCCTCTAAAGGCGGAACTCCAGTGAGATAACAGGCAATGCGTCGCGGTAAAGTGAAAGTGAAAGTTGCTCATTCAAATACATACCAATATCTAGCCAATCTTGAAATGTTAGGAGTAAGCAATTTTTTTTTACTATTATTAATTATAACCAATTAAATATAATAGATGGTCTTTATCTGTGTGATTTCTCACATGCACATTAATGTTTCCTTTATGAAATTCTTTACACATTTTTTTGCATGAAATTCATTTTAGTCTGTGAAATTCCATCTTTATTTGCGAAATGATTAGGTTTTTTAAACGGATGCTGCTTGTCTTCATTCACTTGGGTCTAACATCATTAAATTCCCATAATTCAATTAAAGAAGGGCAAATTAAAAACGAACAAGAACCGACTGTTAGCCATCTGCAGGAGAGCAATTCCAGCGTTATGGATGTGACATTTGTAGTCAAAACTTAAAATATGAATTCTCCCCATACAGAAGTCACATAAATTAATATAAAATCTATTAATAATAAATAGATTTTCATATATTTAAATGTCTTAAATCTAAATAGAAGAAAATATATGATATACTTAAATGTAAATATTTTTTAACATAATTTTTTTTATTACATTTTTATATTAAACACATGTAAATATATTTTTATTGGAAATATTTACATATATTTATTTCCTTTATGTCAATACATTTAGATATTTATGTAAATACATTAATGTGCAATATATGTGGATATTTTAATTTCTAATATTTGTTAATATATTAGTTTCCTGTATATGTAAATCTATTTTGAAACATATTAAAATATATATATAAAAAAAAAAAATTGCCCTTTATTTAACCAGATACAACTTTCTGAGATTATAAATCTCTTTTACAGAAGTGACCTAACCAAGATGAGCAGCACAACATTATCAAAAAAGTAAAAGAGAAAATCACCATAACATTAAAACATATCATCAAAACAATTAAAAACATGAACAAATTGTTTCTTCCTTTAATAGCTCACTAGAAGCAAATATAAAAAAATATTCATTGACACCAGGGTCTGCAATTTCAGGTCATTATGTAAAAAGTTCCAATTACTGGGTGCCGCAAATCGACAAAGCTTGATTTCCAAAATCAGTTCGGGCGAGTGGAACTGCGAGGGTATACAAATCCTGTGAGCGCAAAGAATAAACTCCAACAGGTTTGTGTTGGGTAAGAGAGCAAAGATATGTAGACAATAGACCCAAAAATGGATTTATAAATAAACAGGTACCAATGTTTACATCTGCGTGTTGATAATGTTGACCAACCAACTCTGTTGTACAGATCACAGTGATGAGTATTATATTTAAAATTCAGTATAAACCTATAGTGCACATTGATACAACGTATCCAAAGAGCTTAAAAGTTTGGTAGTTGCCGATTTATTCAAAATATCCCCATAATCAATGACTGGCATAAAAGAGGCTGAGACTAGTCTTCTTTTTGCCTCAAATGAAAAACAGGATTTATTTTTATAATAAAATCCCAGCTTTATTTTTAATTTAGTCCTTAATTGATAACCATGAGATTTAAGAGATTTAAAGGTGCTATATGTATTTTTTAGCGGCCTCTATCGGTGATGTTTCAGATTGCAACCAATTTTTACAAGAGCGCTCGTGCTCTTGCGCGTGCTCGAACACAAGAGCGAGCACTCATGGTACCGGCCGGCCACACTGAGACTTTCAACACACCGGAGAAAGCATCACACAACATGCTGGAAACTCATGTAAACTCCCACTGCAACGTTATAATAGACTACTTTATCAGCTTGATGTTGAACTAATGCTCCATGCTCGTACCATGATAACGTTACATTGACTGCATTTAGCCGACATGTGGTGTTAGCATATTAAGGCATTTCACTAACTATTCGTGTATCTTTCACAATCAGCAATGTCAACATAGGTGAATGTATAATATGATAACGAAAACGGTTAGTGAACTAGACTGAACAATTTCAGTGTAACAGTAAGATCGTAGGAAGTAACATTACTGTACTGAACGTGTCTGAAAATTATAAACAATATGATAGTAGTGAGATGAGTGACGTTAGACAGTAGATCTAGTACATAAAATAAGTTACATCCTAAAGCACCTACTTTTTGTTATCCTGGAACAGTCTTTTGTATTCATTTCATGTCTCATGTATGTTACAGTTTACCATTATTTATTTCAGCATATCTGAAAACTTGTAATTTATCACAATAAAAATAGCGGAGGTCTCTCTATAATTCAAACACTCTGCCGATGTTGATCCGTGTTTTCGTCCTAAGTCGATCCGATTCACGTTTGGCCTGACGAGCTTCAGATACATTTTTTTTTTATATATTAATGTGGAGTTTGTGTTGGAGTGTGTGTTGTGCTGGAGGCAGGTCGTTTTTTGGTGTTATCAGACTCCATGTCGTTAGCTGCAGTGCCGTCGCATAGACTGTATATAAAAAGGAGAGAGGCTCGGGAGCGCGCATGCACGTCACATCCAATGGATTTCGCAGAAAATCCGACCCGGAGACTTCACATAGAAATAGGAATACTGGCCTTCAGAGGTAATAGCAAAACCCGACAAGTGGATCATTGTAATGTGTGATTACAACCCCTTCACACACAGGCAATAAAAAAAGGATTCAGTTTAGAAGAAAAGTTACATTTAGTTACATTTAAAGATAAAGAATCATCAAATATAAAACCGAGATATTTATATTCTGTCACTACCTCTATTACAGTACCCTGTAAGGATTTTTAAGTGATAGTTGATTTGCCAGTTGTTTCTTTGATCGTGAAAATAACATTACTTTAGTTTTGGTCTCGTTCAAAGTCAGGTTTAGGTAACAAAGCCTTTGTTGCACAACATCAAAAGCACACTGTAGAAAAGACACAGCTTGGTGCAATTTGGGTACACTATAATAAAACACGGTGTCATCGGCATAATAAATTATAAAAAAGGCCCTAGAACAGACACCTGAGGAACACCCCTCATAATCTTTAAAGGTGCAGATGAATGAATTTCCATCCGCACACACTGTCCTGTCCAATAAATAGCTTTCAAACCAAGAAATTGTATCATTTGACAATCCAGTTAGTCTCAGTCTAGTTTTCAGTATACTGAAATTAACAGTGTTGAAAGCCTCTGACAAATCAATAAAAAGTGAAACACAATAATGGCCTCTATCAAGGGCCTCAATGATATCATTTAGAACCCTGATAGCAGCTAGTTGTACTCTGCTTTTTCCTAAAGCCTGACTGATTATGTGATAAGATGTCATGTTCATTCAAGTATGAAATCAACTGCTCACTAATAAGAGATTCAAAAACCTTAGACAGAATGCCTAGTTTAGAAATCGGCCTATAGTTATTCATATCAGAAGGATCTCCTCCTTTTAACAATGGAATAACAAATGCAGACTTCCATATCTTTGGAATTCATTAAAACTCTTTAATTAAAGATTATAAATATATGTCAAAAGGGCAGCTGTGATCTGAAGCTAATTTTAAGAAAAATGGTTCTAATTGGACATTACCAGCTGACTTATTTACATCCAGTAATTTAAGGTCTTTTTTAATCTGGCAAATTAAGAGTGGTAACAAAGTCGATATTTTTCCAAAATTTCATAGATTTGTTTTGATTACGTGTTGTTTCGTTTAAAAAGTAATCAGCTTTAGCTTTTCTTATCATCACTGTACATCTATTGCGTAATTGTCTGAAACTAGGCCAATCGGATTGAAGCTCGGAATGTCTTGCTCTAGCCCAGGCAACATCACGCTCATGAATCAAATTTGATAATGTGGGTGAGAACCAAGGGTTATCTCGACCCTTGACACAATATTTTTTAAGAGGCTATTAATAATAATAATTTATTATTATATAATAATAATTAAAAATAGTGGTGAGCCCTTCATGAAAGTACTTCCAGGCACAATAAATATCTGGGATCAACGAAATCTTCTCCCAGCCAAATAGAGCAAGCTCATAATCAAAACCTTGCTCACTAAACTGAGACATACAATGCCTAGTAATTATGGGCTATATTATAATTATAGTAATTAGGTTTTATTTTAGGGAGTTTTACATTTCTTACAATTCCAATAGTACAATGATCACTCATATCTTGTGCAAACACAGATGCTGCTGAATATGTCACCGGTGGGAGGATGAACGCCAGATGACCAGCCGTTCTAACCCCCCGACTCCGTGCCACCGCGAGGAGCCAACACCACAGAAGACACAGAGACCAAACAATCCAGAGTCAAAGTACAGGGTCTTTATTGAATACAATGTGTTAAAATGGGCTCCAGCAGGATGACTAACTCTCTTCTCAGGGCTCAGACGACCGGAGAAGAGGCAAGGGTTCGATAGTGTCACTGGCTTTCGGCACAGGGCTCAGGCAGACGGAGAGAAGACGAGGTTTCAACGGCGAAGCTGGCTCTCTTTACAGGGCTCAGGCAGGCAGAGAGAAAATGAAGATTCCCCAGCGAAGCTGGCTTTCTTTACAGGGCTCAAGCAGACAGAGAAGATGAGGTTTCAACAGCGAAGCTGGTTCTACTCACAGGGCTCAGGCAGGCAGAGAGAGAATGAAGATTCCACAGCGAAGCTGGCTTTCTTTACAGGGCTCAAGCAGGCAAAGAGAAGATGAGGTTTCAACAGCGAAGCTGGTTCTACTCACAGGCCTCAGGCAGGCAGAGAGAAAATGAAGATTCCACAGCGAAGCTGGCTTTCTTTACAGGGCTCAAGCAGGCAAAGAGAAGATGAAGATTCCACAGCGAGGCTGGCTCTCTTTACAGGGCTCAAGCAGACAGAGAGAAGACGAGGCTTCAACAGCGAAGCTGGCTCTACCCACAGGGCTCAGGCAGACAGAGAGAAGATGAGGATTCCACAGCAAAACGGGCTTTCTTTACAGGGCTCAAGCAGGCAGAGAGAAGATGAGGTTTCAACAGCGAAGCTGGTTCTACTCACAGGCCTCAGGCAGGCAGAGAGAGAATGAAGATTCCACAGCGAAGCTGGCTT